GGACCAGAAGACCCTCTGGGTCCCTCCCAACTCTACAGTTCTATGATTCTAATATTTTATCCTGGGTTCTTTCGTTGCTGTGGCTGATTTGCTACTAAAAGTACTGTATTTTTTGCTCCATAATACGCACCTGACCATAAGACGCTCCTAGTTTTTAGAGGAGAAAACAAGAAAAAATATTCTGATCGAAACAGTGGATGTATGATTTTTGTGGTGCATGCTGTGGCCACAGATGTGATCTGATGGTGAATTTGGGGTGACCCAATGCAAAAATCCTGAGGATCCATGGGCTTTTACCTCCCCTCTCCCAGGCAGCCTCCTTTATCTCTAGCGTCCTTTATCTCTCTCCTGATTCCACTGATCAGCTGCTTCCTTTCAACACTCCCTTCCCTCTTGCTTGCCTTAATGTCTTTTCCTTAGCTGGAGCAGCTTTTTGCTCCTCCTATTCTTCTAATTTCTCTCCTTGTTGCTTTAGTCTTCCTGTTTCCCCCTTTGCAAGTTTGCTGTCTTTACCTCACCCCTCCCAGGCAGCCTCCTTTATCTCTAGCGTCCCTTATCTCTCTCCCTGATTGGCAAACAATCAGGCTTTGTTTCAACACCTACTTCCCTCTTTCAAAAGAAACAGCATGATCTTCTTTTTGCCCCTGGGCAATTTGGCTCCAGGGACCACACATTCGCTCCACAAGACGCCCAGACATTTCCCCTTACTTTTTAGGAAGAAAAAAGTGTGTCTTATGGAGCGAAAAATATGGTGCTTGAATGACACCCACCGACAGCTAAGAGAAGCTCATGTGGACACAATGGGTAGAGGAAGAGGAGAAATGGTGATGGGCTTGATTCCACACAACTGGGTGAGGGTTGCTTGCCAGTGGTGGACCTTCTCAAGATTTGGTGAGGGTTTCCTTCAGGGCCTGGACTCCTGGCTATTTAGTCACACAGCATCGCTTATGGGTCAGGTGGATGTTGTGTGAAACTCTCAGTTCCCCCAAATGTTCACTTTCCAAGCTTCAGCAGGTGCAGGAAACTGTGCCCTGGATAGGGGAACCTCTTGGGCTTGCAGATCGTAAGGTCAGCAGTTCGAATCCACGCAATGGGGTGAGCTCCCATTGCTCTCTCCCATCTCTAGCAATTTGAAAGCATACCAGCATGAGTAGACAAATAGGTACCACTGTGGTGGGAGGGTAAATGGCATTTCCCTGTGCTCTGGCACTCATCATGGTCCTCTGTACATCAGTAGCAGTTCAGTCCTGCTGGCCACATGACCCGGAAAACTGACTGCTGCAGACAAATGTCGGCTGCCAACCTAGCAATTTGAAAGCATACCAGTGTGAGTAGACGAATACAGTGGTACCTCAGGTTAGATACGCTTCAGGTTACAGACGCTTCAGGTTACAGACTCCGCTAACCCAAAAATAGTACCTTGGGTTAAGAACTTTGCTTCAGGATGAGAACAGAAATCATGCTCCGGTGGCGTGGCGGCAGCAGGAGGTCCCATTAGCTAAAGTGGTGCTTCAGTTTAAGAACAGTTTCAGGTTAAGAATGGACCTCCGGAACAAATTAAGTACTTAACCTGAGGTACCACTGTAGGTACCACTGTGGTGGGAGGGTAAATGGCATTTCCATGTACTCTGGGACTCATCATGGTCCTCTGTACATTAGCAGCGGTTCAGTCCTGCTGGCCACATGACCCAGAAAACTGACTGCAGACAAATGTCAGTTCCCTCAGCCTGAAAACGGAGATGAGTGCCGCACTCCACAGTCAAATTCAACTGGACTTAACTGTCCAGGGGTCCTTTACCTTTTACCTTACCTTGTCTATCTGTTTATTTGGTGGCATTTTGTAGCTGTGATTACACAGTGAACCAGGCAAAGCCAGTCCTTTTTTTTTTCAGGGGGTACTCAGGGGTACACAGTACCAGCACCTCTTCTACATGAGGCAATGATGGCCTCCGACTTGGGTGGCTTTAAAAGAGGATTAGACAGGTTTGTGGAGGAGGAGAGGGCTATACATGGATACTAGACAGGATGGCTCGGCTCTGCTTCCACAGTTGGAGGCAGCCGTGATTCTGGAGCCCAGATGCTGAAACCACAGGAGGGGAGAGAGCTCTTGTGCTTGAATCCTGCTTGCAGGTTTTCCATACTCGGCATCTGGTTGGCCAGTGTGAGAGCAGGACCCTGGGCAAGATTGGCCCCCACAGGCCTGGTCTGACAAGATCTTCTTAGGTTCTCGGGCCCGTACTCTCTGCTTAGCAAAACCAGGCAATATGCAAGCAAAATGGCCTTAGCTGACTCCCAGGTCTCCTCCAGACAACCTGGCTATTGAACGTTCCTCCTGCTCTGCTGGTTAGCTGATGCCTGTTCTTTGCTGAACATATTGGTGTTTCGCAACTTTGACCTGTTGCAGAACCTTAGCCAGACCTTAGCAGAGCATACTCAGAGTTCCAGAAAGCAATCATTTGCAGGCTGGATGGACGAAACAGGAATAAGATGCTGCTACTAGTAACTTGGTTACTTAGAGGTGTTTATTATTTACAGCAGACTCTACAAGTTACTATATACAAGAACAGAAACGGATCTTAACTATCTCTCTCTTAACAAACTCCAGATCTCAGTACACCACACTGACCAACAAACTAACCCAGTCAGTAAGGTCATAAGTCATCATGCCTGTTTGAGACCTCAACCAATGGAAGAGCTGTATCCAAGGTCTCATATCTCCAGGCAGAACACTTAATTAACTCTGTGTGAGCTGCACAGAATGGCACATAGTCAAAAACCACAACAGAACATTCATCCTGATTTGCCTGTGGGGTCTTCCTGTTAATCATTTGTTCATTCTAAGGGCATTTCCTTATAAAAAGGCATTGAAAGATGAAGGATTTGTTGTACTAAGGCAACCAGGAGCTTTGAGCCACTTTAATTGTGCAGATTTGAACTTCCGCTCTGTGCTGAGATCCCTTTGCAAAATAGTTTGTGACAGCCTAGAACCAACACTGATTTGAATTTGAGTATGATGGGAAGCTAACATTGGCACTCACCCTTTCAAGACTCGAGAAACAAAGCTCCTGTTTTATGGTTGCATGTCCTGCAGCAAAATCAGCGCCCTTGGTGGATGAATCACAGAACTGTAGGGTTGGAAGGGACCCCGAGGGTCATCTAGTCCAGCCCCCTGCAATGCAGGGATCCCAGCTACAGCATCCATGGCAGATGGCCATCCAACCTCTGCTTAGAAACCTCCAAGGAAAGAGAGTCCACCACCTCCCAAGGGACTGTGTTCCACTGCCAAGCACCTTTGATGTTCCTTTAGCTTGTTGGGGTGCTCTGGAGAATGGACCCTGCTTGCCTTCTTCACCCATCTGCTTCTCTTTTGTAGATATAAATTTATTTATTTGGTTTTTCAGTTGAAATTTTTACAGTCCCATATGCAACATACGACATAGAAACGAGATTCCAGAGAATCTTCTGGACTCCCCTCTTCCTCTTGGTGGGTCCTATTGTTAATAACTTCCTCCTTCATCTTTTATAATAATCCAAATCTTTTACCTCTGCACTGTGTCCATTAAACTACAAGTGATATTCCAACCCTACTAACGATTTTAACTGTTTACAATGGGTTTTAAGATAAGTTACGAATTTCCCCCATTCCTTATTAAAATTTTGGTCTTTCTGACTTCTGATTCTTCTGGTTGTTTTAGCCATTTTGGCATAATTCATCAACTTGAACTGCCATTCTTCTCTGGTAGGGACTTTATCTTCTTTCCATCTGTTGCCCCAGGAAAGCCCCCTCATCACGGCATGCCAACTCAGAGGCCAAAGGAGCCGGCTGAAGGGCACACCCTCCCTTACCAGGCTCAACCTCACACATTCCTGCATTGAAGGGTTGAGGTCCTTCCAGCCCTACAATTCTATGGTTCTATGACTTAAGGCCCTCCCCCCCCCCAGCAGTTTTGTCCCCTCCTGTGCAAAAGAAGCTGGAAGACTGGTGTAGCTTTTAAGGGTCAAATTGTTGCTTTGAGTTCCACAGTTCCTGTTTCTCCAGGCAGGTTGTGATGGCACGTGTCACAGCTCAGTGGCTGCAAAAGATCCTGGGTTCTGTCCCTGGCATCATCTCCATGAAAAGACCAGTCTCTGAAGCCCTGGAGAGCCAAAGGCAGATCAGTGTGGTAGATAATCCTGACCTAGAGAAATAAATGGTCTCACCCTAGAATTCGTGGACATCCAGTGATGGAGAATACTGGAAAAGTCTGGACGGATAAGAGAAAGTCCATCTTCACACATGTTGTTGTTGTTTAGTCGTTTAGTCGTGTCCGACTCTTCGTGACCCCATGGACCATAGCACACCAGGCACTCCTGTTTTCCACTGCCTCCTGCAGCTTGGTCAAACTCATGCTGGTAGCTTCGAGAACACTGCCCAACCATCTCGTCCTCTGTCGTCCCCTTCTCCTTGTGCCCTCCATCTTTCCCAACATCAGGGTCTTTTCCAGGGAGTCTTCTCTTCTCATGAGGTGGCCAAAGTATTGGAGCCTCAGCTTCACGATCTGTCCTTCCAGTGAGCACTCAGGGCTGATTTCCTTCAGAATGGAGAGGTTTGATCTTCTTGCAGTCCATGGGACTCTCAAGAGTCTCCTCCAGCACCAGAATTCAAAAGTGTCAATTCTTTGGTGATCAGCCTTCTTGATGGTCCAGCTCTCACTTCTATACATAGTACATAGCACATACATACATAGCACATAGCATAGTTAAACGATGGAGCTCATGCCTGCAAAAGCCAGTAATGGCCACCAACTTGGATGGCTTTAAAAAAGGATTAGATAAGTTCATCATCTGGCTGGCCACTGTGAGAAGATGATGTGCCATTGTCCTGATTCAGCAGGCTCCTCTTGGGATCTTTTGACTTGGTGGGAGGCAGTTTCGATGCTCCTACGATGTTCCTCACAGAAGGTCTCTCTCCTTCCTTCTCCTCCAGGAAGCATGCTCAGTGATGATGACCTGATCTCTCCAACAAGAGCATCATGTGTGCTTCCAACTGCAGTTCCCAGGCCAACCCCTCCTCGTTCATCCTGCTGGGAATCCCAGGGCTGGAAAGTGCTCAGCACTGGCTCTCCATCCCCCTCTCTTCCATGTACCTCATCACCATCTTGGGCAACGGCACCATCTTAGTCGTCATCAAGACGGAGCCCAGCCTCCACAAGCCCATGTACATCTTCCTCTCCATGCTGGCTGCCATCGACCTGGTCATCTCGACCGCCACCCTGCCCAAGATGCTCTGCACCTTCCTGTTCGATGCCGGCAAGGTCAGCTTTGGTGGGTGCCTGGCTCAGATGTTCTTCATCCACTCTTTCTCCGTGATGGAGGCCACCGTCCTGGTGGCCATGGCCTTTGACCGCTACATGGCCATATGCTCCCCGCTGCGCTATGAGGCCATTTTGACCAAGTCTGTCCTCCTCAAGATTGGGGTGGTGGTGGTGGCCCGGGCGGTTGCTCTCATCACCCCGCTCCCGGTCCTTGCAGGGCGGCTGCCTTTCTGCAGAAGCCACCTGGTGCCCCATACCTATTGCCAGCACATGGCTGTAGTGAAGCTGGCCTGCACTGACGTCACGGTCAACAGCCTGTACGGGCTGAGTGTGGCCCTCTATGTGGGCATCTCCAACATGCTGCTCATCGCCCTCTCTTATGGCATGATTCTCCGTGCTGTCCTCTGCCTGCCCTCCAAGGAGGCTCGCCTCAAGGCCTTCAACACCTGCGGCTCCCACATCTGTGTCATATTGATCGCCTTCGTCCCGGGACTCTTCTCCATCCTGACACACCGCTTTGGCCACAAGGTGCCTCCACATGCCCGCATCCTCCTGGCTAACCTCTACCTGCTGCTGCCCCCTACCCTCAACCCCATTGCCTACGGGGTCAAGACCAAGGAGATCCGCAACAGAGTGTTCCGCAAGTTTTGGAAGAGGAAAGACTTGTACTGAAGGCACTGCAGGCGTCGGAGGGGTGTCCTTGACCACACGGTGGGCAAAAAGGCATTGGAGCAATCAGGGAACCCCCAAATGCAACATAACTGGAGACATTGGGGCAGAATGCTGCAACATGATTGCTGACCACAGTGGGGCCTTCTCAGCCTAGAACACCTGTGCTCTGGAATCCGCAATGGCTGCCAATTTGCTGCCGGGCCAAGTTCAAGCTTTTGATTCCTGCATTGCAGGGGGTTGGGCTAGATGACCCTGGGTACCCCTCCAACTCTGCAATTCTATGATTCTATGGAGGGGGGACCAGTTTGCCTTATCCTCTATGTGCCCAGTCAACTGCTACATGAAAGCTGTTCCTTATTTGTAAGAACCCAGTCATTGAGTGTGGCAGCATCTGAACTTTGAAACTCCCTTCCTCTTGACATCAGGCAAGCAGGCGCCTTCACTGTACTTTTTTTGGCACCTGCTAAACACATTTATGTTTATTATTTATTTTAGGTAAATATTAGATTTATTAGTTTTCATAAAACATACAAGAAAAAGTAATACTATACCCTTCTAGTTAAAAAAAACACCCACTCAAGAACAAGAAATTTCTGTTAACATAAATATATACTTTTCCCATGCCTGTGTTTTCCCACCACCACTCCCTTTGACCCCCCCTCCACCACACCTCTGTCGGGATTCTCAGGCCGCAGTCAGAGGTAACTGGCCTCACTCCAGGCATCCGGCTGAGATCCTTGTTGACCTTCCCGTCTGCGTCTCCCGGCAGGATACAGGCAAGGTCACAAATCAGCGATCCTCCTCAAACGTGAGAAGAACACACCATCCTCCCTCCTCCCTGCTTCCCCAGGGAGGGGAAAGAGACAGACAGAAACCTATTTACATGTCTTTTATTTCTGTCATTCCAGCAGTAAGAGAAACCGTGTCTGCACCCTCCAGTCTCCAGCAGTAGACTCCCAGCTCCACCCCTGTACTTCCAGTACAGGTCACATGACACTCTGAGCTAACATCCGGTGCTCAGAACAGTAAATAGACTGTGCCTTTGTTCCCACGGTACAGTCCCAGACACCAACATCCTGTTTGGCTTTCTAGCCACCTGCATCTTGCTCTTGCATTGATGCTTTTTCCTGACAACCTCCACTTCCTTATCCTTTATATTCTATACTTTCATTGCAATATTTTAAACACATTTATGTTTAGACAAGCCTACCCAGAAATGTAGAATACTGATATTTGTTTTGAATCTGCTTTTCGTTTATTGCTGATTTTATATTTGCAACGTTTTTGAGAGTTTACTGTTTTTACCGATAATTTATTTTATTGTCTTTGCAAATCGCTCTGAGATTGATTGATTTTTACATTCAAGCAGTGTATAAATTTTGTGAAGTGAATGAATGAATAGAAAATTGCTGCTAAACGCTAAGAGTGGCTTAGCTGTGAGCGACTTGTCACTTGAGTATAACTTTAATAAATAATAAAACAGCAGTGCATATATAATAAATAAGAATCATCCTAGCATTTAAAATTCAATTTGCACACCATCCAACAATGTGACTTCACTCCCAAAGGTGCACTCCTCTGTTGTCTCCTGAGACAGGCGGATGCCAGCCAACATGTGTTGGTTGTGGCTACAGTGGTACCTTGGTTTACAACCATAATCCGTTCTGGAGGTCCAGTTGTAAACCAAAACAGGTTGTAACCCAAGGCACGCTTTCGCCAATGGGGCCTCCCCCCAAAATGGGTTGTAATCCGAAAAAAGGGACACGCACTTCCGGGTTTGATGTGGTTATAATCCAAAACAGTTGTAATCCAAAGCAGTTGCAAACCAAGGTACTCTCAGCATGTAGAGGGCTGGGAGGCCAGCTGGCTAGCCCCAGCTGGGCCATCTCCTTCCAGCTGTCCCACTGAGAAGACCATCACTTCTGCTCCGATGTAAATCAGCGACCCGGACTTCAAAACCAGGGCACACTATCAGCAGATCGAACTGCACACACAGAATAGGCGTGAGGCTTGTGGAAGCATACTACAGCTATGGATTTATTGATCATAAATCAGGACAAAGAAACATGTCATCTCTCTCTCATGTCATCTCAGAGAGAACAGCGAAAAGCAAAAGCTATACACAACGGACGTTCCCAGCATACTGTGCTGGAATGTAAACAGACATGTGACACGCAACAATTCCACACACCTGTTCCTTAAGGTGGAATGGAAATGTCAACAGGTACCACTGTAGTCTAGTTGTCAAAGCTGGCCAGCCAAACGGAGCTCCCAGCAAAGCAGAATTTTACCAGAGTTCCTAAATCAAGCTGGTAAATCCTAAATCCATCACTCAGACACCACACCTGCCACAGTCACACCTTGGTGCTTGATGGAAGTAGAGCCAAGAGGGCTTGTGGGGCGCCCATCTGGCCCAGTCATATTCAGGGGTGTTGAAAAGCCAGCCAGCTGCTCACACCATTGTCTGAGACGGGAGGCTTTCTAACATCACTGCCTTCTTAGCAAGTGTTGCCAAAGGAGCATAAAGGAGGCAATCAGGATGTTAGTTTGCAATGGAAAAAAGCAGGCCCATCTTCCTCAGGAGGCAAGAAGATACTTATTTAGGGAAGTCAGAAGAGAGACAATAGTGTTAGCCATAGAGGCAAGCAACCAAACGAAACGCTTGAGATAGGGATGGAAAATGCTGCTTTTCTTTTTTGTGTGCATAATTTTTATTAAGTTTTCTATTTTACAATTTAAAATATTCATTAAACATCCTTAAAATGTCAGTGACTTCTCTTCTTCTCTTTCCATGGTTCATTTCGCATACTGTAAATCCCTGCGTATTTTACATAAACTAAACCATTCAGTATTCCATTAATACATCCATCAGGACTTGTTTACACTGTTGAATTTATCTTAACGCTGCCAACGCTTTCAAGTGTACACCGTTTCCTCCCATATATTCAACAAACATTTTCCAATCTTCTTTAAACGTATGTTCTTCTTGTTGTCTTATTCTATATGTTAGATCAGCAAGCTGCACATATTCCATCAGTTTAAGTTGCCATTCTTCTTTAGTTGGGACCTTGCTTGTTTTCCATTTTTGAGCTAACATAACACAGGCTGCAGTAGTGGCATACATAAATAACCATTTTTTACACCTGGAAAACCCACTCTTTAGTTCTAAATCGGAACAAATAGCAATCTGCGGGAAATTGCCGCTTGCTCCAGTTGAGCACAAAAGTGTGATTTCTGCCAACGGGAAGCATCAGACCAAGAAGAAGGGTGGATTTGCCCCATGTTTTTGGCATAGGTCACAAAATCAAACCAAACAGGAATAAACTCATCTGTTCTACATTGACATCTGAGCATTGACCTCCTCTCTTATGGCCTTTCCTTGGCTAAATGTTTCCAGGGACTGGTCTGAAGGATCAGGAGGCCACCTCCTTACAGAAGCTAAGCATGTCTGGATCTGCTCAACACCTTGATGGGTGACCACCAGGCAACTTGGGTTCTGTGTCGTAAGAAAGACAGGATCTAAACATACTGAAACAAAATCTAGTAACAAGCTGGAACTTGTGCAGAGGAGGGCAACCAAGAAGATCAAGGGTCTGGAAACCAAGCCTTATGAGGAACAGTTGAGAGAGCTGGGTAAGCTTAGCCTGAAGAAGGAAAGGAGAGGGAACTGGGAAAGAAAGAAAGGATACAAAAAACTTATGGAATATGCAGAAATAGCGAAACTTACCAGAAGAATGGAAATGGTTAATTGACTATTTACAGATAAATTGTAAACAGATAAAAACATTGGCAGGATTGTTGCAATAACCTGCAGTTTTAAAAGAGTATATATTTATGGTAGATAATTAAATGACCAAGTTAAAGGAATTTGGATGTGCAGAAGATATTAAAAAATAAATTTAAGGAACTGCAGAAAGAGGGGGGAGGAAGTCAAAATTTGAAATGTTAACTTGATTGTAAAACTAATGAAATGTATAAATTTGAAAACTATAAATAAAAAGCTAAAAGAAGGAGAAGGAGAGGAGATATGAAAGCCATCTTTAATTATCTGAAGGGCTGTCACATGGAGGATGGAGCAAGCTCATTTTCTCTGGCTCCGGAGGGTAGGACCAAACCAATAGTTTCAAGCTGCAAGAAAGGAGACTCCAACTAAACATCACAGTGGCGTAGCGTGGGGGGTGCCAGGGGTGCCGACCGCACCGGGCACAACATCTGGGGGGGGGGCGCGAGTCCAGAGGGAAGGGACAAGTTCCTTCCTCCGCCGGGCTCCCCGCCGCCACCGCCAGCCTTGCGCCCTAGCGCGCGCGCCCCCCGCCGTCGCTGTGGCTGCGCTCCGCTCACTGCTCGCAGGAGGAGCAGCCGCTGCAGCAGCGCCGACGCCGCCACCGACGCCTGGCCGGGCACAGGCAGCCTCTGCACCCTGCCGCCGCCGCCATCCCCTCGGCCGAGCCACAGGCAGCGGCTGCTTCTGCCTCCATCCTCCTCCGGGCAAGCAGCGTTGTTTGCGCGGCAGCTCCAGCGGCAACTCGCAGGTTAGGGGTTGGGGGGGGCGCAAATTACTTGCCTTGCCCCGGGTTAGGGGGCGCAAATTACTTGCGTTGCCCCGGGTGCTGACAACTCACGCTACGCCGCTGAAACATCAGGAAGAAATTTCTGATGGTACAAGCTTTTGACAGCGGAACAAAATCCCTTGAAAGGCGGTGGAGTCGCCTTCATTGGAGGTTTTTGAGCAGAGGATGGATGGCCATCTGCCAGAGATGCTTTAGCTGAGATGCCTTGCAGGCTTTGGGTGTCCAGCACCCCTTCCAACTCTATAAATCTATCATTCTGTGATTCTACAAATAACTAAATTCTTTGAGCATTCTTGAACATTCTGAGGTTCCTGCTGTAGATTTGCTTTGTTTTGATGCTGTAGATAATGGGGTTCATCAAGTGTATCCATGCAGATCCGATCCTCGCAACCCCTTCTCCAAGAATAAAATAATATCTTCGATGAAGAGGATGGAGAGATCCTAATCTCCTTGACTTCAGCCTCCCTCCTTGCCTGCTCCAGGAGTGGCCTAGATGAAGTCTTCACAGGAGCCAGGAAGGCACTTTCCATGGTTCTGCTAAGTCGCTGTAGAAGAGCCTAACTATGGCTCTCTGAGCACCAAGGACAAGGCGGAGACTTCCATGGCTTGAGTTCTCCACCTCTTCTCCATTCCAGGTAGCTGAGAGAAGGCCATGTTGTCTAAGCTGCCTGGGAAGAATGCCATTCTTTCCCCCTTTCCATTGTGTGTCTTTCCTTGCAAGATTTGGTTCCCAGAAGAACGACATGCTCTCTGCCTGAATTAACTTGATGGAGGTAATTGTGGTGATGCAGACCAGGAGCCCCTGACAATAGCACAGGTGGGGAAACCTGGGTGTCTGGAACAAGGCAGCTGATTTTCTGCCTGTGCCATTAATTATGTGCTCCCAGGAGCAACTTCACTGAGCAGGTGCCTCCTTCAATCTCTTGACTCCTGAAGTGGCCAGGGAGTAACACTCAATTCAAACACAAGGAATTATTCTGAGCTATCCCCAGGGAAGCTTCCCCTTATGGTTTGACTCGCCAAACAGTGGTTTACTCCAGCGAAGGATGAGTGCTGGACTGGAAGCAAGGCTGCCTTGGGTGGTCTCACCCACTGACCTTGAAGGGGAACCCTCCACCCGTTCCCAGATACGGTCATGCTCACCCCCACCCACTGGGTCCCCCCCTTGGGATCATCAGCTGACGACTCCTCAAGCTCCTCCCACCCCTGGTCCTGATCCAACAGGCATGCCCACAACTTCTCCCAGGGCCCTGGGGAGAGCCACACCGAAGGCGAGAGAGGCAGGCGATCTGTTCTGGCACCAGGTAGTTTTCCATGCTGTTTATGTGGTTTGCAAGGGCGATATGGTGGGATGGGAACCATGTACCTGAAGGGATTTTAAGTCAAAAGCCAAAATAAATAAAAATGTTGTTATTATTATATATTTATTTATACCCTGCCGTTTTCCCTGTCAGGGACCAAAGGAGTCTTACAGGTAATAATAAGAACAACTAAAAACATGGAGAAAGTAATCATGAAGAATCTTCTGCTCTAATCCCACTTGCAGATTTCCCACTGGTGAGAACAGGATGCTAAACTAGATGTGCACCCTTTGGCCTGATCCAGCAGCCTCTTCTTATGTTCTTATAAATATAGGAACAACACCATGTCTAAGTAATGAGCTTAGCTTCAGAATGGGCAGAACAGAAATCACTGAACGAACCAATATGTTGAATAAAGTAAAGGCTTCTGGATGTTTGTGTTGTGTGTGTGTGTGTGTGTGTGTGTGTGTGTTTTGCACTCCTAACCCTAACCCCGCCCTGAACCTGCTGGTACCTCTTTCTTGGGCACTATTTTGGCTACGGAAGTATCCACATTCGCCTCTGAACTGCGGAAATAGAAAAACTAGGAGGACCACCATAGACAAAAATGTTTATTTTGTTTATCTGTATATGAATTGTGTTCCATAAAGCATCCCAAGATAAAGTTCTGCCGTGCACCCCTGGTCTCCACCTTCCTCGTGGTTCCCTCTTCTGCCTGAAACACCCTCTGGCCCAGATGGCACAGTTTAGCCGAGAGGGGTCAAGCCTCTCCTGGAAGGCCATGGGCTGGGAGAAGACATCTGGCTGGCCACTGGGAAGACAGGCTGCTGGACCAGATGGGCCATGGTCAGATGCTGTGAGCCAAGGAAGGAGAAAGGGTCCATTGCAGACCATCTGTAGCCTTATTGGAGTTCACCGATTGGGTCTGCGTTGCTCTGGGACAGGAGGAAGGAAGTCAAAAAGACACCGAGGTTGCTTCAAAGAAAGAGTTTATTCTGCTCTCCGGATAGCAGAAGGCACCTGCGTGATTAGTCCACAGCAAGTACAAAGAAATGACAGGTTTCATGCAGTTTATATACCCTCCAGGCATCCTCTCCCCCTTCCCCAGCCACGTCAACTTGTCACGCAGGTTGAGATCACATATGTTCCTGCTCTGGTACTCTCAACCATAAAAGGATCTTCCTTCCTGTACTTCTGACCATAAAAGGATCTTCCTCTTCCTACTCTTACCTGGGAAGACGTCATGATCTCCGGGAACACGCTTTTGGCGTTTTCCCCGGACATTGGTCTTGTGCGGATTTTGTGGTCAGCACATAAGATAAAGTTCTGACGTGTTCTCGTTGTTCCCCTGGGGAGCCAAGGCCATCCCTTGCCGTGACTGATAAAGGAGAGAGCTTGTTTATGCAATTGTGTCCTTATTATGGTTTTTTCAACAGCTCAAGTTTTACGCATTTTAAAATGCTCTCTATTGAAAGAACAAAAAGGGGGGGTTGAGTCAGTTTTAAACTTGCTACACAGAAACCCATTCCTTCACATCCAAACTGACGCACTGCAAGGGAGTCACCTCCGCCTCCTCTCCATACCCCTCTTCCTCAGGGTGCTTTGATGGAACACCCAGATTATCTCCTTACGCACCTGCTGGGTTTTCAGGGCATAGACGATGGGGTTCAGCATCGGAGGGACCAGGAAGTGGAGGTAGGACAGGAAGATGTGGGTGTGGTGGGGAGCCTTCCTCCAGAAGCGGTGGATCATGGAGAGGCTGATGAGGGGAGTGTAGAAGAGAAGGACCGCACAGAAGTGGGAGACGCAGGTGTTGAGGGCCTTGGCTCGCTCCTTCCAGGAGGCAATGCTCAGCACGGTTCTGAGGATCAAGGTGTAGGAGACAACGATGAGCAAGGAGTCCAGTCCCAGGGTGGAGAGGAGGACGAAGAGGCCGTAGCTGCTGTTGAGGGAGGTGTCAGCACTGGCCAGCTTCATCACGTCCGGGTGCAAGCAGTAAGAGTGAGAGAGCTGGTGGCTTTCGCAGAAGGGCAACCTCCTCAAGAGGATGGGGGCTGGGATGTGCAGCCCAACTCCCCGGATGACGATGGCCAAACCGATGCAACCGACCCATGCTCTGGTCAACATTGAGACGTACCTCAGAGGGTGCCGTATCGCGACATAGCGGTCGAAGGCCATGGCCAGCAGGACGGAGGACTCCAGGATGGAGAAGGTGTGGATGAAGAAGAGCTGGGTGAGGCAGGAGTCAGCAGCCACCTCCCTGGAGCCCAAGGCATACACCTGGAGCATCGTTGGCAAGGTGGAGATGGACAGGCCGATGTCTGCCAGGGACAGCATGGAGAGGAACAGGTACATGGGCTCATGAAGTGTTGGATGCAGCTTGATCACGGCGAGGATCAGGCTGTTGCCGACAAGTGCAACAAGGTACATGAAGCAGAATGGGACGTAGAGCCAGGGCTGAGGTCCAGCCCCAGGGCCAGAGATGCCTGCCAGAAGGAAGGAGGTAGGCTGCCTGCACTTGCTGTCATTGAGGGTGAGCATCATGGGCCAACCAGCTGCTAGGACGCCAACATCGCCCTGTGGTCAAATGAATACACAGAACAACAGACAATGTGCTTTCCAGACAATGACTAATGCTTAACATCTGCCTTCCTTTGAGGTTTTTAAGCAGAGGTTGGGTGCCTGAAGGAATGACCACCGGGTGTGGACCACACTTCCACCCACAGACAAGCCACAGCTGTCTGACCTCGTGACCTTCGGGTGTGGAGCACACATCCCACCCACAGACAAACCACAGCTGTCTGAACATAATGCCCTCTATCTAACCTTTTGCTCTCTTAGTGGTCTGCTGTGCCCTGTTTGTGACCTTTGTCTCCTTCTTCATACATTGTTCAGGGGGAAAGTGATGTGGTGGAAACAGGTGCCAAAATAACTTTGTACCACCCCTCGATCTCGGGATTGGAAGATGTGTAAAGGTCACAGCTCAAAATGTATCTGACTGGTTTTGCATATTGTGCTAATAAAAAGAGCCTCGGCAGAGCTAGCTGGCAGCTTGCTTGTGCACAGTTCACCTGCATTACCAACTCCTGCCTCCTGCCTTCACTTCAGCCACCCGTCAAGGTTTCTTGAGCTGTGATTCCTGCAGTGCAGGGGGTTGGCCTGGATGACGCTTGGGGTACCTCTCCACTCTACCATTCTATGGCTTTATGATTCTAACCCCTTCTTCATTGTCACCAGACATATTCCAGAGTGAAAGCCAGGTTCTGAGCCTTAGACTGGGTTCTGGATTAAACCAGGCCAGACACAGGGTTTGCCTAGAGGTAAAAACCTTGCCAACCCATCTGATGGGGGCCACCTGTCCAGGTGAGCAAACTCTGAAGGGTTGGTAGCAACAGTGGCTCTACCTGGCCCTGGCAGAATAGCTAAAGGTGATAACCCTCAGCACCCCTTCCAGCTATAATTCTATGATTTGTCAAAGCAAAGGAGCTCCATGCAACTGCCGCTTCCAACCCCCCAATCCCACCCCACTTGATGACCTCTCAGCAGCCCTGAAGCAGATGAGGGGGCCTGGGTCGCCCAGTGAGCTTCATGGCTAGGCAAGGATAGGAGCTTGGCCAGCAGAGAGAAAGGTTGAAGCTCAGGGGCAGAGCAGAAGCTTTACATTGAAGCTCTTTGCCCAAATACTTGCAATGCAATCCTGCACATGCTTATGTTCTGAGTTGTGGGGGTCAGTCTTGATGACACCCTGAGTCCCTTCCAGTTCTTGGGATCCTGTATTGGGGTGGGGGTAAAATGTGTGAGAGCAAGCTTGCAAAACCTTTGTCTAGGTGATGCATTTGGCTGGCTGGTTAAGCATCACAATAAGCATAACGGAAGACGTTGCTCTGTGCTATAGAAGGAACGGGTGGGCCTTTCCCTCCACCCCCCCCCCCAGCAGGAGAACAATAGCCAGATTTTAGTGTGGGTGAGTTGAGCTGAAAGGTGGCTGGAAGCTGGAGACAAAGAGACCAGCTTCCTCTGTGCTGGATCCGAAGCTGCGGCTGCTGGAGAAGCAAGACCTGCTTGGGGTGTTAGGGCTGTGAGCCCCTTCATCCTTTGGTCAGGTTGTGTATAAGAGTAAATGAAACCCTCTTTTCTAAAGATACCCCAGTCTCTGCTGATGTTCATCCCAAGGAAAATGAACCTGGCTAAGGTCTTGGAGCCTCTGGAGTCTCTTGCCACTCCGAGATTGGGACAGCATGTAATAATAATAATAATTTATTATTTATACCCCGACTATCTGGCTGGGTTTCCCCAGCCACTCTGGGCGGCTTCCAACAGAACATTAAAATACAATACTCTATTAAACATTAAAAGCTTCCCTGAACAGGGCTGCCTTCAGATGTCTTCTAAAAGTCTGGTGGTTGTTTTTCTCTTTGACATCTGGTGGGAGGGCGTTCCACAGGGCTGGTGCCACTACCGAAAAGGCCCTCTGCCTGGTTCCCTGTAACTTGGCTTCTCACAGTGAGGAACCGCCAGAAGGTCCTTGGCGCTGGACTTCAGTGTCCAGGCAGAACGATGGGGGTGGAGACACTCCTTCAGGTATGTACCATTTACAGGGAAGTTGCCCTGTGTTTGGTGGGGCCTGCTCCCAGATAAATAAATGCATACCAGACTGCAGTCTTCCCATGGTGGGGAGAGATAAAATCCCAGCACTTACCAGAGCACATTGGATGGCTGTGGTGGCCTTGAGGCTCTCCTGCTTTCTGCTCCAGATCCCTCCTGTGTGGACTGGGGTGAGCAAATGCTTCAGGGCAGTTGTATATCTACCACAGGAAGGATCTCTGGAGGGCCACTGAAACTCTAGGGAATGGCTCTGAGCTGCAAAATAGCACAGTCTCTTAACGGGCTGATTTTCCAAGGAACCCATTTTATGTTGAAAATCAGGGCAACTGCGCACTCCAGATGAGAAGCACATGTGGAGATAAATGTGTTCATGCACAAACACACACTTCAAAATAAGAACAGAACATTAAAGAGCAGAGGAAACCAACAAGGCACAATGTTCCTGCAGCAGAAGAACTTCATAAGAATGGCTCATCTAGTCTAGAGTCCTGTTCTCCCAGGGAACCCTCCGGGGGTTTCCTAAAAAATCTAGGGTGCACTTTGTGCAATATGGGAGGTAGAAATCTGAGGGTCAAAGTAGATGTCGCACAAGCCCCACCAGGTGAATTCCTCTCTTCTGCTCAGGTTGCTCAAGGGGCAGGAGTCCTGCCACTGTCTCTTGCGGAGATCTTGCCGCCCTATCACAGTGTGCACACAGCCTCAGTCATCATCATCATCATCATCATTTTTAATTTGTATACTGTCTTTCTATCTTACAATACTCAAGGTGGTTTACAAGCTGAAGAAACAAAAAATGTACATCTTATAACAATCTAATGTAATACAAAAATGTGATAACAAAACATAACTTTAAAATAGGCAACCTCCATCAAAAAAGTAACATTCAACAATCATTAGAATAGTATAAAATAGTAATATCAACATATAAAAGTTAAACAGAAATCCACTCAACGCCATATCAGCAGTCATCAGGGAAGTACTAAACTGGAGGTGGGGTAGCTCTTCAGATATTTGAAGATGGCCATCATATCAGCTCTTCATCTTCTCTTCTTACAGCAACAGGGCTTTGGCGGCACAGATAGGTGCTGCCTCGCTGCATTCACAGGCCCGTTTCTGATGCATCCACCAGGTGACTCATGTGATTCACCAGAAAATGCCAGTAACCTGTGCAGTCTCCCTCCTTACATCCACCGCACCATGAACTGTGACATGTTCCTGGATTTCTTGTCATGTATATATCAGCCTTCCCCAAACTGGCACCCTCCAGATGTTCTGGACAGCTGTGTTGGTTGCATCTGCTGGGAGTTGTGATCTGAAAAATCTGGAGGGCACCATTCACGGTGAAGGTTTGCCCAGCTGCTGAACAGATCTCCATAAAACAGCATGAAAATACAGTGGTACCTCAGGTTAAGAACTTGTTTCATTCTGGAGGTCCGTTCTTAACCTGAAACTGTTCTTAACCTGAGGTACCACTTTAGCTGCCGCTGCACCGCCGCCACATGATTTCTGTTCTCATCCTGAAGCAAAGTTCTTAACCCGAGGTACTATTTCTGGGTTAGCAGAGTCTGTAACCTGAAGCGTCTGTAACCTGAAGCCTCTGTAACCCGAGGTACCACTGTACTGTTGCACACCACCACAATCTCCAAGCGCTTAGCTAGGATTTGGTTTCCTTGGAATGAAGGCAAATGGAGACTGTTGCATCTTTAGGATATATGGGATTTACCTATACATATATAGAACCTGGGGACGCGGGTGGCGCTGTGGGTAAAAGCCTCAGCGCCTAGGGCTTGCCGATCGAAAGGTCGGCGGTTCGAATCCCCGCGGCGGGGTGCGCTCCCGCTGCTCGGTCCCAGCGCCTGCCAACCTAGCAGTTCGAAAGCACCTCCGAGTGCAAGTAGATAAATAGGGACCGCTTACCAGCGGGAAGGTAAACTGCGTTTCTGTGTGCTGCGCTGGCTTGCCAGATGCAGCTTGTCACGCTGGCCACGTGACCCCGGAAGTGTCTCCGGACAGCGCTGGCCCACGGCCGATAGAGTGAGATGGGCGCACAAACCCCAGAGTCTGTCAAGACTGGCCCTTCGGGCAGGGGTACCTTTACCTTTATATAGAACCTGAGCATAGAATGGCGGGGCTCACAGCGTAACACTGACGGACAGTCCTCAAAGCTGGATGTTGGGAAATGCAGGACGGGCACCAAGGCAGATCTAGGGGAGCTTGACTTCTTCAGTCGCACCAAGGAGGCAGCTTCTTAGGTGCCCCAGCAGGAGACACGACTGTGAAGTCCAATGGAAGGCGAAAGGCCAGGAGTGCCAGATTTTGCTATCACAGAGGGCACCGCTGAAATGAGAGGCGCCATGGTCCACCACTGACAGATTAAATACAGCCCTTCTTCATGCAGTGCATAGTCAAACTTTGGAACTCACTCCCAAAGCCAACCTAGATGGCTCTGAAAGAGAATTAGATGAATTCATGGAGGAGACTAACCGGGCGGCTCCGCTCTGCATCCGCAGTTGGAGGAAGTAATGCATCTGAATGTCCTTTACTGGAAATCCCAGGAGGGGAGAGCGTTGCTCTCGTGCTTGAATCCTGCTTGTGGGCTTCCCATAATGGGCATCTGGTTGGCCACTGTGAGAACAGGAGGCTGGACTTGAAGGGCTCCGCTTGGACTGATATAATAATAATAATAATAATAATAATAATAATAATAATTATTATTATTATTATTATTATTATTATTATTATTTGTACCCCGCCCTCCCCGGCCAGAGCCGGGCTCAGGGCAGCTGAGTCCCAGTAAAATTACAGTAAAAACATAATGGGGGGGGACCAATTTAAAATACAGGTTAAAATGCAGCCTCATTTTAAAAGTGGCCCATAGATCAAAAGCATAAGGGGAGGGAAACATAAGTCTCAGACTGAGTATAAACCAAAGGCCA